AGTGCGCTTTATTGAAATAATCATCCTCCGTACCAATATATGTTTTCCTCCCTAGTGTCCCCTTTCCACTTAGTCTCCCCTCATGTCTCGATTCAGGAACACCAATCGAGTCAAGGTCGGGAATAAAGTCAACACAGAACTCAATGACCTCTTCTGTTCCATAGCCCTTGGCGATGCTTCCTTCTGGGCGTGCACGATTGTGAACATATTTCTTCAAGACTCCCATGAATCTCTCTAAGGGGAACATGTTGTGTAGGAACACAGGACCGAGAATGAAAATCTCCTTGACTAGGTGAACTAGGAGGTGTGTCATGATATCAAAGAAGGAAGGAGGGAACACCAACTCAAAGCTGACAAGACATTGAACCACATCATTCTGTAGTTTAGCTAGATCAGTTGGATCAATTGCCTTCTGAGAAATTGCATTGAGGAATGCACATAGCTTCACGGTGGCTAGACGTACATTTGGAGGTAGAATTCCTCTTAATGCAACTGGAAGTAATTGCATCATGAGAACATGACAGTCATGGGACTTTAAGTTACAGAATTTCTTCTCTGACACATTTATAATACCCTTTATATTCGAGGAGAATCCAGATAGTACCTTGATGTTGTTTAAGCATTCAAACATGATTTCCTTCTCATCTTTGCTTAGAGTGTAGCTGGCAGGACGTAAGTAATGGCATCCATCATCTGTCTTCTCTGGATGCAGGTTGTCTCTTTCTCTCAAACAACGCAGGTCCTGTCGTGCTTCAAATGTGTCCTAAGGCTTTCCATACACACCCATGAAGCCAAGTAGGTTCACACAAAGATTCTTCGTCAGGTGCATCACATCGATCGAGCTGCGGACCTCTAGGACTTGCTAATAGGGTAGCTCCCAAAATATAGACTTCTTCTTCCACATGGGTGCGTGACCGTTAGCGTCGTTCGGAACAGGTTGGCTGCCATGTCCTTTTCCAAAGACGACTTTCACATCATTGACCATATCGAGTACATCCTCACCGGTTTGGTTGCGAGGCTTGGTCAGGTGGTCTACCTTTCCTTTAAAATGCTTGCCTTTCTTTCTTACGGGGTGATTTGCAGGAAGAAATCGACGATGGCCAAGGTACACAACCTTTCGACATTTTTTCAAGAATACACCTCTAATATCACCAAAGCAGTGTGTGCATGCATTATATCCCTTGTTTGATTGTCCTGAAAGATTACTTAGAGCAGGCCAATCATTGATTGTTACGAACAACAATGCTCACAGATCAAAGTGTTCCTGTTTGTACTCATTCCACACACGTACACCTTCTTTATTCCACAAAATAAGAAGTTCGTCAATAAGTGGTCTCAGGTACACATCGATGTCATTGACAGGTTGCTTCGGGCCTTGGATGAGCACAGGCATCATAATGAACTTCCACTTTATGCATAACCAAGGAGGAAGGTTGTAGATACTTAGAGTAACAGGCCAAGTGCTATGACTACTGTTCTGCTCTCCAAAAGGATTGATACCTTCTGTACTTAAAGCAAACCTTAAGTTTCTTGCGTCATTTGCAAACTCCGGGAATTCTCTGTCGATTGCTCTCCATTGGGACCCATCAGCAGGGTGTCTCAACATATTGTCTACCTTACGGTCTTCTTTGTGCCATCGCAACAATTTTGCATGTTCTTTGTTTTTGAACAGACGTTTCAAGCGTGGTATTATAGGAGCATACCACATAACCTTGGCAGGGATTTTCTTCCACGGACGTTCGCCCTCAACATCACCAGGGTCATCTCGCCTGATCTTATACCGCGATGCATGGCATACCGGGCAAGCATCCAATTTCTCGTACTCTTTGCCACGGTAGAGGATGCAGTCATTAGGACATGCATGTATCTTCTCGATTTCTAGCCCCATAGGACAGACAACTTGTTTTGCTTCGTAGGTAGTGGCGGGCAATTCATTGTCCTTCGGAAGCATCTTCTTTTGGATTTTTAGTAACTCTCCAAATCCTTTGTCAGATACACCATTCTTTGCCTTCCATTGCAGCAATTCTAGTGTGGTTCCCAACTTTTGCTGCCCTGCATCACAAGTTGGGTACAACAATTTCTTGTGATCTTCTAGCATCCGCTCGAACTTGATCTTCTCCTTTTCACTTTTATATTCTCTTTGTGCGTCACGAATGACCTGACAAAGATCATCAGCAGACTCATCTTCTGCGGCTACCTCTTCTTCAGCTTCTCCCATTGCAGTATCATTGAAGCACGCACCATCGGGAATAAAATCATTGTCGTCCCATTGTTCTTCTTCACCTTCTTCCATTACAACGCCGGTTTCTCCGTGCTTCGTCCAACAAATATAGTTTGACATGAAACCCGACTTGAACAAGTGTGAATGAAGAGTCCTTGAGCAAGGATATTACACCGTATTCTTACATACGGCACATGGGCAGCACATGGAACCATCACGTTTGTTTGCCTCGGCCGCACGTAACAAAGAATGCACGCCGTCCATGAACTCTTGGGAGCGACGATCAGCATTGTACATCCAATGCCGACTCATCTGCATTACATGACATAAATACCATATTAAAACCTAGAACATAATTAGTTAATTATACAACATGCATACCACCACAAAAGCTATAAATTTAAGAAATCATCGCTACAATGTAGACAATCCCAACTACCACTAAAAACACTAAAGCTAAAATGCACTTCAGCAGCACAAGGATTTCGCGACCAATCCCAACTAAAACAGACAGATCCCCCGTTTGTTCAACATCTTTAGACTTCTTCGGTTGGATCACTGCCTCATTAGCCGCCATATCTGCCTGTTGTGCAAGATATTTTTGCACGAGTTTAACATACTCTTCCTCCCAGTAGAAGCCTGAACATGCAGTGCCATCCCACTGAAATTAAAACAGAAAATTAGAACTTTAATCACAACCATCATGAAAATAGGTATAAACTAACCATAGTCATTAAATAGGATAAAATAACTCACATTGCGATCCGGACACTTGTAGAAAATGCGATCCTTGTTGGGACCCTCCTTCTTCACTCGGTACTCCATCACAATCTTCGTCTCATCACAACACTTGTCGCATGCAATGAGTGGGAGGCCCGACCTAAGTCGCTTTGAAAACCCATGAGAGGCCGAGGACCCGGAAGCAGTTGCCATCTACTCTCTATACTCATTTTTTAATACACTATAAATTTCTCATTTTATAAACAAATAAAATTAAAAAAAACTCTAAAATTCTCTATATCTCTAAACAATGAAGTGTACTATGCATGCTACAAATGAACAGTGAATACTAGTTTTTAATAACTACTTTAACCTTCCTTCATGTAAATATGCAAGCTTGAAGTTTAAAGGTTTCCAGAGCGTTTAACACTACTCTGCTTGCCGAGAAAGTTGCTAGTGTTGTGTCGTTGGCATTTTTCATGGCCGTGGCCATGGTCATTGTGTTCTCGTCTTTTACTGCGGCAGGTAAGTAATTCACATGATATTTCCACAAATTAACAAAAGAATGGGAGTGTACACACATAACAATCGATTATCGTTTATATTTATATATATACTACGTTTAGGTACGGTGATTGACAGACTACTGCGACGATATCGGGACGTGTGAATAAATAACCATCCGTACTAGTTGACCTTGCTTACGTGATCATCTCGGCAAACATTTCTCCACCGGACGGCACCGTACTTGGCCACGAAAGAGCTCCGATTCTACGAGGAAGGGAACACGGTCTTCCACGACCGTTGCCGCTCTCCCTCGTAGAATCAAAGCTCCCCCTTGACGTCCATTACCGCTCAGCAGAGAACATGCTCGCCGAGATGAACACGGTCCGCAAGTTCAACTAGCTACTTTAACCTTTGTTCATGTAAATATGCAAGCTTGAAGTGATTTTGAGCTCAAATTGCTTACAAATGAAAAAAACCACAATAAAGAACCATATATATATAGTGAACAAAATGAGATAAGACAATGGTGAAAAATGAGAGTATGAGATTGGTAACCTTTACAACTGAAGAATCGACGGAGGAATTGAAGAAATCGACGGAGGAATCGAAGAATGGATGGAGGAACAATGGAGGGAGGAAGCAAGAACACTAGTGCAGTGAGGTTCAAAATGTGCTGAGCTCGGGCTCGGGGAGGAAGAAGGAGACGGTCGGGATATAAAGGGGGACCTTTAGTCCCGGTTGGAGCCATCAACCGGGACTAGAGGTATCTCTAGTCCCAGGCGCAAAAAATGCCGGGACTAGAGTCCATTTTGGCCGAGGATCAAAGGTCTATTCTCTACTAGTATGTGTAGTAAATATAGTTAAGGTTAGTAACTGATTTCTTTTTATAGAACCTTCGACTAGGTTCTTTGTTTTCTCAGCAACTAGTCCTATTCAACTCCAGTTGAATCCGACCTAGGACCACAATTTTTTTCAAGTTTTAAAGCTCAACGCCACGTTCGTTTGGACTTGTTTGGCTTATAAGCCGTACTTTTTTTAGCCAACAAACAATATTTTCTCTCACACCAAATCAGCCAACAGTACTTTCAGTCATGACTTATCAGCAAACAAGCTCAAACGAACATAGCGATATATGCATTGGTTCTATGTCCCGTCGTGGTCCAGTGATTAGAATTAAAATCACACAAGCCAAGCCAGTCTCCATCCTGGTTGGATAGGGGGCAAATGGGTATTTTGGCAGGCCATTGGCCCACTATGGAAACCAGCTTTCCACTCCCAGGGAAACCGAGGGCTTTGGCAGTCCGGTGTGTCCACCGGTCCACCCTCCCTCCCTCCCGAGAGGCAGACGCGGCTCCGACTCCCGATGATGCTTTATATACACCTCCGCCTCCATCTCTCCTCACGCACACACCAGTACACCACACCATTCCGGTCTCTGCTCGTCTCCTTCCTCGTTCCGACCATTGACCCGGCCAGCGCCGGTGACTCGGTGAGTACCCGTTGGCTGCCTCGACGAAGCGATCGAGCACCGCACAGTGTTAAAGGATTCAGGATGCGGATGAGCTGCAACGGGTGCCGCGTGCTTCGGAAGGGGTGCAGCGACAACTGCGCCATCCGGCCGTGCTTGCAGTGGATCCGCAGCCCCGACGCGCAGGGCAACGCCACCGTCTTCCTCGCCAAGTTCTACGGCCGCGCAGGCCTCATCAACCTCATCACCGCCGGCCCCGAACACGTCCGACCTGGTACGTGTATCAGTGTGTGTATGCACCTATCTAGGATTCGTGTGCACACACACTTCCCGCGGATCGATCGTGCTCATGTGATGATCTACTGTGTATGCATGTGCAGCAATATTCCGCTCTCTGCTGTACGAGGCTTGCGGCCGCCTGCTCAACCCGGTGTACGGCTCGGTCGGCTTGCTCTGGTCCGGGAACTGGCAGCTTTGCCAGGCCGCCGTCGAGTCCGTCCTCCGCGGCATGCCCATCGCGCAGCCCCCGCCCGCCGCCACGGCTGTCCCGCCTCTCCGGTCATGCGACATCCGCCACGTCGCCAGGAGGGAAGCAGACCGCGGCGCCGGCGCCGCGGATGCCGGCCTCCACCGGATGGCCAACAGCTCGCGGTCGCAATTCAAGCGATCTGGCGCCCACAGATCCGCAGACTCCGGCGGCATCGAGCTCGTCTTCTCCCAGCCGTCGGCCTCGTCCATGCTGGTCGACATCCGACAGGCGCAGCCACTGAACTGGGCGCCACGCCAGCCAAGCCACGAGTACTCTGCGAGCCATGACAACGACGGCGCCGTGCGGGAGAGCGACAGCAACGCCTCGGTGGACACCGCGGATGTCTCTCATGTCAGTCAGTCCGAACCGGAGCCACCAAGAGAGAGCGATGAGCGTGCGGCGGATGGCCTAGACCTCACACTAGGTCTGCCACCGACGGTGCACAAGGTCGTCGAGCCGTCGGACGTTGACGACGACCAGCCTTGTCACAGAGGCGAACCGATGAAGCTCGGCTTGGCCATGGCACATTCTAGAGCTAGATGATGAAATCGTTGGATATACGGACTCATCCGGTCGAGAGGGACTTTTGATTGCTTGGAACTCGTTGTAGTATGTCTTAATTTGTAGTAGTTTTGTACGGGTCGCTATGGTGTTTTCTAGTTTTGGAAAACATCGTGTGTAACAACAGTGCATGCCCATTTTTTGCATTTTTGATGTATGATACACCGTTTCTTGATGTGTTCTTCTCGTTATATTTAACTTCATCAGGTGCTTGAGTGACGTATGTCAAACCGTATAATGGCTTTAATTCTCTGTATATTGCATGCTCTTAACTCCTGTCTCGTGTAATGATTTCCTTTGTGATTATGGTCAAATTGTGACCAACCGAGGTCAGCTGATCTGTGCTTGTGTACATGAAGTTTGGCAATTTCATGTTAGGTTTCATTATATATGATGGAAATCTAGGGCTATGCCTGAAATGTTGCCGGAAACGGCCGTGTAGGTAGTCAGGCGTGTAGACCGTTTAAATGCTACAAAGTAATCAGGTGTGTCTATTTAATTGATCGTTTATCCTATTTAATTAACCGTGTCGTAGTCTGTTTAAATGGTTGTGTAACCCAATTAAACGCTAAATGATAAGTAGCCGACTGTTCAGCGTTTTGGTAAACATTCACTATCTATATACCCTGAGTCAAATGGATTTTTGTCTCTCAGAAATTATCAGATGAACAAAGTATTTATTAATTTCTTACATTAGTATTGAGTATCGGGAGGCTCGATCGTGGTATGCGCATACTCCCTATAGCGCATGAGCTATAGTACTACGTTAAACACCGACGAAAAACAAAAGGATTGATGTACTAAGTTAAATCTTCTCCAAGCGAACATATGGTTTGTAGAAGTTGGAGTCTAGCAATCTGGTTATCCCCGCACAACTTGTAGTTGTTCTAGATGGAGAGAACCTTTTCTTGGTGCATGCGGCGCCACCACAAGGGGAGGTTCAATGTATATGGAGAAGGCATGTCGACGGGGAGGCAAGTTGCATATAAATAACAATGCCAAAGTTAGCTAGGGTTTGATCATCTCCAAACAGCTGAGGAAGAGCTGACAAAAGGGAAAAGTTTTTTCGCCAATTTGCCAAGTAGCTGGTTAAGTTAAGTATCTTCAGCCAATGGTTGCAGTACGTGTGGTTTAATTTGACACAAACATGGTACGATCGATCTATTTATAGATTCCCTAGCGTCAGAATCGAACAGCGCAATAGTGGCGGGCGTCATGCATACGCTATTACCGGATGAACCATCGATTAACACAGCTTTCGTGGTATGTTTAAGTATTTGAGACCTTTGTCTCTTGAGTTATTTGGTGCAGATCTCATGCATTAGCACTGTGATGTACGATTTACTATTTTGGTTGCCATTCATTGAGTAGTACTTCTTCCGATCCAAATTACAAGATGTATTGCCTTTTCTATGTATAAGTATATATATCTAAGTGCATAGTAAGAGCTCTGTATCTAGAAAAGTCACGACGTCTTATAATTTAAAATGGAGGAGAGTATTTGGATTCTTAATTAGTTTCCCATATAATCCATTCAGAAGATGGATCACACTCTATCCTTATTGTGAAAGTGTCTTATTAGTTCTTAATATTATATTACTATTCCATCAAGCACTCTACTCGATATGTACGGATTTTCAGAAAACAGTTGTTGGGACACGGATATTTTGGTCGCGAAGACAAGCTCCCATTTCTATAATTCCATTTTATACCTTTGAGCGGAATTGCAAACTATTACCATAGTTTTTCATTCTTGATAGGGATTATGCGGAAGCCTTCGGCCATGACGGCATGGTTATGCGAAGGCTCAGGGCTGGTGAAGACTCACCGGCGAAGACCCGTGGCAGAACCCAAGAACAAGCGTGAGGAAGCAGAACGAAGATCGTCGAAGGGAAGACGGAGAATCGGTTTGGAAGAGGAGGCGGCGAAGACTCAGCCCCCGCCCAGCATGTGAGAGGCTCCGATGGAGGGCACGTGATGAGGGACAAATGGGCCTCCATCAGGTTCGGCGCTAATGCCCATGAGGCAAGGCGGAGCAGAGGGAGAACACCAAAGATGCCCCGGGAGACTAGGTCTAGTGATTATGCCTGGTGGATTGTAGGGTAATACTGTAAAAGAACTTCCTTGTATATAGTGACCTATAAAAGGGGGAAGCAAGCCCCATGTAAAGGGGGAGATCCATGAATGAATGAAACCCTTATAGAATCTTGGGACATACCATTTGCATTACCATCGCCAGAGCGAAGGCTCTCCCGAGTCCCCACCTTGCCGGGAATAGTTTTCCCAACATTGGCGCCCACCGTGCTAGGCCAAGCACAAACCCAAAATGCCATGGAAGAGGCAAGCCTCCGCCAGTGCCCTAGCAGAAACATCAACCAAGGGAAGACCTAAGCGTACCACTTGTAGTACATACACCAGCAACTCGGAAGCCTAAGTGAATGAAGAGGAACCCGCAGTGGCCAACCAGCCCACAGTGGAAGGTAACCAACCTAACCCAAACCCTACGCTAGAGCATGTGCTCCAACAGTTGCAGGCTGACCTGCGAAATACACAACAAGAAAGAGACAGGCTTGTCGCAGCCTTCGCCGCGACAGAAAGGGCGATGCAGCCATCACAGCAGGCAGCGGAGGTCCGACAACAGCTGGCAATCTGACAAGCTGAAATTCAAAGCCTGCAGCCCAACCAGGAACAACCAAATAACTCCAACCAGTCCCAACCTCAAAGTCAGCCTAACCCTTCGCCGAGCACAACAGCTCAACCAGCCTTCGGCACACCAATCACTATATCATCATTCTAAAGAGCTATAGATACAAAATCATCATTGTCTGAAGGACTTCAAAGCTTCCCTTGGCCATCACCATACAAGCCTATAACAAAAAAAAGAAAGAAGGCAAAACACGCAAACCTCAGCCCGCCGTGCCTCTGCCATGGCGCGAGCGTCCTGTCGCCCAAACTTACACCAAAAGTTACTTATGAAATTTTTCACCGCTTTGGAGATATTTTTTTAGGCTTCCCCAAGCTCCACCGGGCCCTCAAAATCCTTCTTCCGCCTTAGATCCTCGATGTGCTCACAGCCACCCTTTGCCAAAATCTTTGAAAGATTTGTTGCACTAGACAATGCAGCAAAATCTCTGACCTTGGCAACAAAATCGGGAAGCTTGGAGAAGTTGGACTTCATCCACAAGAAGACACCAAAAGCGGAGGCATCAGCCGGCAGAGAAGACGTAACCCCTCCAGAACCAGCCAACACGGAGGTGTACATCTCAGCAATAGACACGCCAACTGCCTTCGTTTCATCAAGCCACTTCATCAACAATTCAACTTGTTCGAGCAAAGCGGCGCTCGAAGACTTCTCCGCATCAATTTCCTTGCGGGTACCTTCAGCGATGTCATTGGCCTTATGAACTCTCTCCTAGGCCAATGCCTCGGAGGCTCTCAACACAGTTAGATCCTTCTCCAGAGAATCTGCCCTGGCCTTCATCTCATCAAAATTTTTCTCGGCAGCTCGAAGACCCACAACTTCATCTTCAAGCCACCTCTTTGAAAGTCCTAGTTTGGTTTTGGATAATTGATGAAACCTAGTGTACTAACCCATGTCATTAAGTGTTGTGATTGAGATAGGGTTGTACAAACCAAGTGATGGAGCTAGAGGATGGTCAAGGTGATGGTGATGACCAAAAGAGATGATCAAATGCTCCAACTTAAAAAAAAGAAGAAAGAGAAAAATAAAAACCAAGTGTTGATCAAGGCAAAGGTATCAAATAGGTTTTTGTTTTGGCACTCAAGACACTATAGAGGGTGTGAGTGTGTTTAGGATCGATAGCCGTACTATAAAGAGGAGAAATCTTTGTCTAAGCCATTATCGAGTGCCACTAGGTGAAGTGATTCTTGCATATGCATTAGGGACCTAGTGTGCTAATAATTGACCCTTGAAAAATACTTTGAAAAATGCTAACACATGGGCACATGAGTTGTACACTTTGTGGTTAGTAACTTGAAAGCAAGGGTGAAGTGTTTGAGGAGATAGAAAAGAAAAGAAGGCAAAGGTCTGTGACCGGACCCTGGCTCTGCTAGGACCGGACCCTAACAAGCCGAGTCTGGTCAGTGCTCGGGCTGTGGGCGAGAGGGCCAAGCCATGACCGGACCCTACACGGTATAATGACCGGACCCAGGGTTGTGCGTCCGGTCATCATGCGTAGAGAAGGGGCGGCTCAGCTTCATGATCGGACCTAGGCAAAGGGGAACGACCGGACCCTGCATGAACACTGTTCACATAGTCCGGTCATGGCGTTGTGGTATGCTGTAGTTTGTTTGAGAGGACCAGATGCACCGGCGAGTCCGGTCACTAGTGACAAGACATGTCTGGTCGCTGAAATTCCTCTCTAGATGTTTACTGGACACGACCGGACGTGCCATGGTCATGAGTCCGGTCATTCTAGCGTCGAGTCCGGTCACAACTTAACGTTTAGCGTGACTGAGAGATGACCGTTGAGATCTAATGCGCGATATTCAAAGGGACAACACGTGGATGGCTCAGGGCGACCGGTCCCTGCCGACCAGACTCTGAGGTGAGTCCGGTTAGGCCCTAAGAGCCTAACGGCTCTTTGAGCCAAGGGGGTTCTATAAATAGATGTTGCTCGGCTTTGCTCACTCTCTTGCATATTTTCATCAGTGATACATCCTTGTGAGCCTAAGCAAACATCTCCCACTCATCTCCATCATTGATTCACCATCTTTGTGAGATTGGAAATGATTCTTAGTGTATTTGCTTGAGTGATTGCATCTAGTGGCACTTGAGGATTGTTGTGGCTGCGGATTTCTTGTTACTCTTGGTGGATGCTACCACCTAGATGGCTTGGAGCAGCGGAGGAGCATTGGCATAAGTTAGTGATTGTTCGAGGCCATCCCCCGGTGATTGTGAGGGGTCTTGTACCTTCCCCGGCGGAGAGCCGAAAGGTAACTCTAGTGGATTGCTCATGTCA